ACCGTCCAGATCCTGCAGATCCTATGTTGGATTCCATCATGTCAATTGATAAGCGCTATGTACACTTTTGTCATATGCCATTCTGGACTCTCAACTCTAAATCCACTTCTCTGGATATCCAGATCCGAGATCTGGATCTCAAATGATCTGATCTATCTTTATCTCCCTTCTGGAATCCAAACCCTATATCAGTGCCCAACCCCATTTAGACTGCCCCTGTCTCCAGACTCCAGTTAACCATGTCTCCCTTTTGATTATTGATCTGTTACATACATTTCATTTCCGGTGTTCATTATTTGTGATCCGTCCTACTTACTAATAGACATTGCATATGCTTCATACATAGCCTTTATGTTTGCTGACTGATTCCTATATGATACCTACAGTATATAAACCTCCTGTAACTCTTGGAAATACTCCAGTTTGAATATCATCTTAGTTCCTGCTCATTCCTGTGTCCTCCAGACTCGAGATAAGTCTCTTGTCATATTCCGAGTCTTAGGATTGCATCCCAGACTACATTTCCGACTCTACTGTAAAGGTAGTCCATCCTCTGTTAGTTTCTAGTCTGGACTTCGTCCAGATTAGTCTTATCCACTTGCCCAGGTAACATCTGGACATCTGTCGGATTTATCTCATGTTTCAGATCCGGACGTCCATTATCCACCCTAGTCAAATCCCAGAAACTCTGGACAACTGTTCTAGCCCCTGGAAATTAAGGGCACATACTCGGGAAAGGGGCACAGTGTACGAGCTGAGGCCAGCCCTTGTGATCTGACCCCTTTGAGCATGTGACCTTAACAACTTTGATATATCTAATATGTACCCGGGATTTCCCAGGTGGTCATGTGATAGTGTCACATGACCGACAATTTTCTTTTTTCTTTTTCTTTTTCTGTTTTATTTCACTGTCTGTACAGACCCTAATGAAATAAAAAAAATTCATGTTATATATATTTTTTTGAGATTTGGTTATTGAGTCTCGAGTTTTGGTTTGCAGTTTTTGGTTTTTGAGTGTCAGGTTTCAAGTCTCGAGTTTCAGGCTTTGTGTTTCAGGCCTCGGGTCTCAGGTTTCGGCACTCAACACTCAGTGAATTGTGTAATGAAATAAAAAAATTCATGTTATATGCATTTTTTCAAGATTTGGTGTTTGGTTTTTGGTTTTCAGTTTTTGGTTTTCACATCTCAGGTTTCAAGTCTCGAGTTTTGGGGTTTGGCTTTTGGGGCTCAGCACTCAACACTCAGTGAATTGTGCAATGAAATAAAAAAATTTCATGTTATATGCATTTCTTTGAGATTTGGTGTTTGGTTTTTGGTTTTCAAATTTCAGGTGTCAAGTCTCGAGTTTCAGGCTTCAGGTTTTGGGCCTTGGGTTTTGGGTTTTGGCACTTGACACTCAGTGAATTGTGCAATGAAATCAAAAATTTCATGTTATATGCATTTCTTTGAGATTTGGTGTTTGGTTTTTGGTTTTCAAATTTCAGGTGTCAAGTCTTGAGTTTCAGGCTTTGGGTTTCGGGCCTTGGGCCTTGGGTTTCGAGTTTTGGCACTCCACACTCAATGATTTGTGTAGTAAAATAAAATAATTTCATGTTATATACATTTTTTCAAGATTTGGTGTTTGGTGTTTGGTTTTCAGTTTTTGGTTTTTGGTTTTCACATCTCAGGTTTCAAGTCTCGAGTTTCAGGCTTCAGGTTTTGGGTTTTGGGCCTCAGGTTTTGGGTTTTGGCACTTGACACTCAGTGATTTGTGTAATGGAATAATTTTTTTACATGTTATATACATTTTTGTGAGATTCAAGTTTGGAGTTTTGGGTGTTCAGGTTTCAAGACTCAGTGATTTATGGTGAATGAAAAATGGATGTGTTGCACACTGGGTTTCAGTTTTTGGGCTTTTGGGCTTTGGTACTCAGTGATTGATGAATGTCAGACATGGTGTATTCAGGTTTTCGGGCTTTGGGCTTTGGTGGTTGATGGTAGGTACAGTGGCTCAAAAAACTGTCCACATGTTTTGACATTTTTCACTATATATGATATTGTGTGAGAACTCACAAATGCCTCAAGGACATGGTTATACCACATTGTAGTATGGCTTCAGGGCTTTCATTTGAGCCCTACACCGTGGGAATTGGTGGAGATATGGTGGAGATACAAGGCTCACAAAATGGTGACTCATGCGGACAGTTTTTTGAGCACATATTAAAACTATATAAATCATCATTTATGACACCATAACAATCATGCCACCATTAAATAAATTATAAAGTGGTGTCATTATGTCATTTTAAAACCATATCTAACTATACAAACCAAAAATTTCCATATGTCATGGTTATATTCACCATGAAAGCCACCCCCCCTGCTCAAAGGGATAATATCCTCTCTCTTTCCTATTCTGGCCTCTCTGCTTGTCAAATTTCCTCTAGAACTGGAGTATCCAAGTCCACTGTGGCCAAGTTCATCAAAGAAAGTCACACAGACAAGGAAAACTTCTGTGAAGGGTGTCCATCCAAGCTCACCTCTACTGATAGGAGGGCTATTATTTAACATATCACTACAGGAAAGGCTGATAATGCTGTCCAGGTCACCTATTACATCAATTCCACCATCACATTCCCTGTCTCTTCACACACTGTGAGAAACATTCTCAAGACAGCTCATCTCAGGTCAGTAACAAGGAAGAAAAGGCTCTCCTCTCTATCACACATAAACAGAGATGACTAACCTTTGCCTTAGCCCATCAGAATTGGATTACATGGACTGGAAGCATGTTATATGATCATATAAGACCACAATAAATAGGATTGGGTCAGATGGCAAGGTATATATGTGAAACAAGAAGGGTGCTAGTCCTCTCTGCATATGTGTGATAGAGAGGAGAGCCTTTTCTTCCTTGTTACTGACCTGAGATGAGCTGTCTTGAGAATGTTTCTCACAGTGTGTGAAGAGACAGGGAATGTGATGGTGGAATTGATGTAATAGGTGACCTGGACAGCATTATCAGCCTTTCCTGTAGTGATATGTTAAATAATAGCCCTCCTATCAGTAGAGGTGAGCTTGGATGGACACCCTTCACAGAAGTTTTCCTTGTCTGTGTGACTTTCTTTGATGAACTTGGCCACAGTGGACTTGGATACTCCAGTTCTAGAGGAAATTTGACAAGCAGAGAGGCCAGAATAGGAAAGAGAGAGGATATTATCCCTTTGAGCAGGGGGGGTGGCTTTCATGGTGAATATAACCATGACATATGGAAATTTTTGGTTTGTATAGTTAGATATGGTTTTAAAATGACATAATGACACCACTTTATAATTTATTTAATGGTGGCATGATTGTTATGGTGTCATAAATGATGATTTATATAGTTTTAATATGTGCTCAAAAAACTGTCCGCATGAGTCACCATTTTGTGAGCCTTGTATCTCCACCATATCTCCACCAATTCCCACGGTGTAGGGCTCAAATGAAAGCCCTGAAGCCATACTACAATGTGGTATAACCATGTCCTTGAGGCATTTGTGAGTTCTCACACAATATCATATATAGTGAAAAATGTCAAAACATGTGGACAGTTTTTTGAGCCACTGTATATGCACTCATATAGTGGGTATGTACTCCATGTGCTCGATTCTCTGGTGCCTACATCAGCACACTGATTTGTATGTTATCCAACTATCTCAGCCTAGTTATGTTTATTGCACTATTTACCTGGGCCCACCTGTGTATATGATAACAACTACCTGGACCCACCCAACATGAAACTTTGGGTGTTGGCATTCAGTACTTGGCATGGTGAAGAGTTTTGAATTTCAATGTTTGAGTTTCAGGTTTTGGTACTTGGTACTCAGTGATTCAAGACTCAAAACTCATAAAAATGTATAAGTTTTGAGTGTTGAGTTTTGAAGTTTGTTTTGATGTTTGAGTTTCTGGTTTCTGGTTTCAGTACTTGGTGAATGTCAGACATGGTGTATTCAGGCTTTCAAGTTTTGGGTTTCCATGGTCAATGGTAGGTATATGCACTCATATAGGGGTATTATACCAATACCTCAGCCCATATGTCTAAATGGTATGTATCTGGGCCCACTCATCTATATAATACATATTTCACCACCCCATCAGCCCACCCATATATATAATACATATTTCACTGCCCCATTGGCCCACACATATATATAATAAATATTTCACCACCCCATCAGCCCACCTGTCTATATAATAATATCTGCCATACATCTCTCTTCAGCCAGCTGTCTATAATATATGTCTATCCTACTCTACATATTGCCCAGATGGGCTCATCCATCTCCATCAGTAATAATATTTCTTCTGGCCCATCCACCATCATCGAGGATATTTATAACATTGGCATAGATGGGCCCACCCATCCCCATTGGAAATAATATCCCTCCTGGCCCACCCATCAACATCAAGGATATACATAACATCGGCCCATAGTCTGCTGGCCCGTCTTATATGGGATATTATGTAGGTTGGGTGACCCATATAATACAGAGTTTGTCACTGAAGTGGCTCAGCTTCTCACCTAGTTTTCTGATATTGACCAACACAAGCTTTGGTCAATCTGTTCATTTGTGAGACCAGTTTCTCACCACTTTGTGCCTATTTGACCAACCAGTCTTTGGTCAACATATTTGTATTTGAGACTGTTGTCTCTACAGAGAATTATCTTAACAAGGAACCACGTTCCAGTGTCTAGATGGTTTATCCTAGACAAGTTTATAAGTTGGGATAAAACACAAAAGCTCCAGCTAAATTAATCACATAGATTGGTTTAGCGAGCCTCCCAAGAACTCACACATTATCTACCACAAAAGAAGAAAAGTTGTAGACTGTGTTAATCGAGGACTGGCAAGAAGTCTTATCCTAGTGTAATTGTGGTGTCATTATATTTTACAAGCATTTATATAAGACCCTTGGTTATTAAGACAGCAGATCACATCAAAAGGAATGTGACTGGTAAGGCAAAGAAGGGAGATGAGAAAGCGAGCAAAAAGCTGGTCATGCAGATGCATGAGGACAGTGGAAGTAATTTCCTTAATCTTGCTGCTGCATTGAAGATCATCCTTGGTCAAACCGTCAAGGATGCTGATATTCCACAAGTAAAACACATCCTTCATGAATATTTGATTAAGTTCATCAAGGTACATCTCGTTTTAGCATGAAATTATTTGCTAATGAAGGCAAGCAGATTCATCCAAAAGATGTGAAGCTGACACACCATTTGGTGACACATATATTTGATCAACTGCATGATTATGGGCCAGTGTACAGATTCTGGACATTCCTGTTTGAAAGGCTCAACAAACTACTCAAGAGCTACTCTACAAACAACCATGGCACAGGAGAACTTGAGGTCAGCTTCTTCCATACATTTGAGAAGGATCAAGAGCTTCAAATGATGGTCTGTATTGTCCAAATTGTCAATGAATCAAACTCACGTTATGTCTCTAGCTTGGTAACATATTAGCAGCTGAAAAGTCGGCAGATGAGAATGACAGATCAGTCATTGATTGCATTCAGCTGATGTTAGCTACAGATAGCAACACCTGAGGTATAGTAGCATCTCTTGCCCTTGAAACTGAGCAGTCAAGTGTTGACAGTGAGCCTTAATGATCCCAAAATATATACACTGACTTACAGGGCTCCAACTCAGTGAACATCCAATTTTGCCTGGGCACACACACAAAATCTGGACTATCACACAATCAGCAACACCAGCTTATCATTCACTACCAGAACACCAACCCACAAGCTCGCATTGTCAGCATTATGACCCATGCAAGCACAGAAAATTCAGACCTGAACTATCTCCTTACACACACAAATTTTCACAACTATATTATACTCGATGGTTGACATGTTGCCTCTTCATCATCACTGATCAAAGCCTTGAATTCTATCATCCAAGTGGACCTCAATAACACATGCTACATGGGACAAGTATTTGCAGTTATCTCACACAGCCAGCGCAGAATTGAGCAAGAATCTGTTCTATTAGATGTCAAGTGGTTTTGCAGGAAACTTGACAT